CCGGCACACTCTATCTGATAAGAGTTAATGAATTCAGAGGGGAAGGAAAGGCTACAGAATACAGATGATCGACAAAGAGGAATAAAGGGAGGGAAAGCTTTTATTACAGTCCCTTCATGAATCTCATTGGTGGAATGTAAACACAAGACAGCCACGTGGGAAGGTGTCAGAGAATGTTGCTTTCCTAGTGCCCAAGTGCAATTACTTTGGTGTGTTTGTCCAAATTAGACTCCTAAGCAGAGGGCCTGAACCTGCTGCCGTGTGCCTGGGAATGAGCAGAGCAGAGCCAACAGGACTGGCAGGTTCGAGTTACCCCACTAAACAGCTCATTGCAGTTTTTGGAAAAGTAATGTTTCAGCAAGGAATCCCTTATTTTCAAGCTCTAATAAAAATATGTCTTTATTTTATAATCTCTGTCCAGGTACTTACAAATTGGAAAAGCTAGCATAAGAATGTTAAGTTCTGATTGTTATAGACAAGTTTTGTCATTTTACAACCCTGGCACAATCTCTGGTTGTTAATCCAAAATGGTGTGACACAACACAACTGAGTTAGAGGTTTGGAGTCAGAAATTTGTATCCAAATTCACAAAATGTCTACAAACCACCAATTGAAACATGGCAGGAAATTGAATTGTAAGAGCCCTTGGACATAAATGCATTTGTAACAGTGTACATTGTATATTTCTAGTTTAATTTAGTTTAAAAGAAACGTTGCCAGTGCTAGATGCAATGCTATTTTTTTTTTTTTTTCATTTTGCCTTCAATTGTACTCTTACTTAAGTATGCATTGCCCGTAATCTATTTTGCTACTTTTAAAATCAGAATTCATTACTGAGGCTGTCTATTACTTGTATCCAAACTTTTCATCTGACCACTTCCTTTTGGTGACCATGTTAACCAATTGGGTTGTTCTGCAACCAGCTCGCAATCTGCAGCAACTAGTGTCAAGTAATTTAGGGACTGAAGATTTGGAGAAACAGAAACCAAATGGAGACAGATTGGGCCCTTAATGCCTGGCTGTTTGCTGCTCTCCAACTTCACTGGTTGATGCACCTGAATCCCACACACTGGTCCTTTTAGGGAAAGTCACTGGTTTTGTGAAGACACAGAGAAAAGCTGAAACCTCTATGCCACTTTTAACGACATTTTGCATGTATGTCATTTTATACATTGTGGATGTGCAGGAAAGGACAAAGTCAGGTGACCTTCATCATGGAGCTACTTGAGCTAGGTTTAGGAAAACCTAATGATTCAGGTTAAAAGTACTTTACTCACGTCACTTGAGTTACGTGTGTAAGTTATGTGTGTAAGTTACGTTATGTACGTCATGTAAGTAAAATATGTTACACAATAAAGCAATAAAAACTTAAAAATAAAAGTCAACTTTGATTTTAAAGAAAGTAAAAGAAAGAAAAGTCTCCTAGGTTAATGCTCCCATCTCACTAAAAGCTCTTCATACTACGTCACCTGATATTTTCTTCTCTATGACCTTTGTAAAATGACACGCTGTCCCTGCCCAACGTAAATCAGAATGAACAGTGTGACATCACACGCAAAACAGCAAAAAGGCAACGTGCTAAATGTCTCAAGAGTTTGGCTTGTTGTAAATAAAGTTTTACTTACTTACTTACTTATTCATACACCATTTGGTGATACCAGGCTGCTATTTTAGAGTAGTGACCCTCTTATGTGTTTGCTGATATGTGAGGTTGAATTTTTTTATTGACCGCCAGATGTCATTCACTGTCATTGGATTCTTCATTCTAACAGTTTAATTCAATCCAACTTGTGTCCAACTTTGCCTAATGTTTCTAACATTAAAACCTTCAACACATATATTTGGTTTTGAAAGGTTTCTAAGATATTTAAACATTGAACATATATGTCACGAATGTGCCAAATACATTTGTATTTTTTTTTTTTATGTGCCAATGTGAATCCTAAAGGGATTCACATTCATAGAGAAGGAACATATCAGTGCAGTTTTAGCTAACCTGCACTCAGTTCAGTTCAGTTATATTTATCATCCCAAATGGGAAACTTGATTTTCAGTCAGGGGCACAAACAAGGAAAACAAAAACAACACAAGTACAGACAAAAACAACTGACTCCCAGTATCTTTTAGGATTGATTTTAAAGTTCATGTTACTGGTTTACGAGGCTCCTAATGGTTTGGGACCGGCCTACATTACCAATGCATTGTCATTTTATAATCCTTTGTGGCCACATACATCCTCTGCTGCTGTTTTTTTAAATACAAACTATCAGACAAATAAGAAACTCAGCAGCTCAGCCTTTTTTAACTGCAGTATGTACCAAAAAATGGAATTCCCAAAGGCTACAAGAAAAGCAAGCGCTGTCAACATTTCCACGACATTGCCTTTAACTGTCACTTTGCTTGGTTTTATTCTTATCTGTTACATATTTTATTGTTCTTATGCTTTATTTTACTTCTTATTTTTACTTTCACATATTCTCCTGTTCTTAACATATCTATTCTTGCTATTTGCTGCCTCTTTTATTTCTTATTCATTTGATTTGTGTGGTTTTATTGTACAGTATTGTCTTCATGTGCCTTTCTTTTATTTATTCTCTTGTCTTTTAGCTATTTTGTAAAGCACTGAGCTAAACCGTCTGTATGAAATCTGCTATAGAAATAAGTCTATTATTATTATAATTATGAATAATCACCCTTTCAGAGCTCGTATCACTCAAACCTTACATCCATTTCCTAATTTCCTGTCTTCCTCTCTCCCGTACTGTCTCTCTCTGATCCCCTCCCCCGCTATGCCTGCAGAAGTAGCTCGTAATGACACCTGCCCCGAGCTTCCAGAGATCTCTAATGGCTGGAAGAGTACATCTCACCCGGAGCTGGTTCAGGGAACCGTGGTGACCTACCAGTGTTACCCGGGTTATCAGGTGGTGGGCGCCGAGCTGCTCATGTGCCAATGGGACCTCACCTGGAGTGGCGACCTACCAAGCTGTGAGAGAGGTGAGTGGAAAAGCACTGCCACCGCCACTGCATTATCCACTTGAGATGAGAAAGATGGTGGATTCAAGCTTAGTGCCAGAGAGTGTCTACATTGCTTTTAGCAGTCGCAAAGATACATGTAAGAGATAATATTTCAGATGGATCCAACCAACCATGAACCTTTTCCGTTTTTATACAATATTGTGTCAGTACATATCATTCATACATTGCCAATTATTTCAACGTCTTGACACAATTTTTGACCTTTTTACTTTTTGTTATCTTTTACTCATACAGAAAATACAGTGCATATATGAACAATAAGGTATATAGTACCAGTACAGATGTTACTGATGATGTTGTATAAATTCATACTTACTAGGCATTTTGTTTTTACAGTAGTCTTGATCAAGAATGTTTTTTTAACTTAAAAACTTAATTTAACTTAAAATTTTCAATAATCAGTAATCAGTTTCAATACATTTTCCGAATTAAATAATCTTATCTGGTTTTACAGTGTATCTAGGCCTACCACGTGTTCAAAAAAGAACTTATTCTTGAGCCTGGGACCTTGACATTAACCTAGTATTCCAAGTTATCTATAAATCATCAAACAAGATGATGGCCATGAGCTCCTTACAGGTAACTGACTGTCAGTTCACTTTATAATTACTTTAGAACAGGGAACTTATTATATTTATTTATTTTTATTTATTTATACATATAATATATACATTTTTGTGTTTTGTTGCATAAGAGATCATAATTCATGTCCAACAACTTCCTTACTTACGGTCATTAAGCGGAAAACTCTTAATTAATATTAATAAGTGCTTTATAATTGCTGATAAAGAGCCAATATGCTACAAAACGATATGCATGCTAATAAGCAATTAGTTAATGGTGATTATGTGTACCTTAAAATAAAGTCTTACCTACATTTTTATATTAAAAAAAAGTATTAACATTTACTGTTGTCAATATAAATGTAATGTAATTCCATTTGATACAAAAAAAAGTAAGAATGTCTATATTTAAAAAACTGTGGGCAGTAAATCCTTACATTTGAAAGATGGAACCAGGAAATATTTTCTATTTTTGCTTGAAAAATGACAATAATGATATCAAATTGATCAATAGTTTACTTTCTGTTAACTGAGTAAGCATCCCATCACTGCAATACATTTTTGGAGTTATTTGGTTGTTTATCAAAAAGGTTCCAAATGACAAATTTTCAGCATTTATCTGATGCCCCCGAGTGAAGGAGGATTTCTTTGAAAACGCCTGTTCAGAAGGCATCTAGACTAAGCTGCCCCCTGAGCCAATTAATTATGTCCTTATCCACCAGGATGTGTGACATTTACTGATCATTTCCCTCCTATCATTAGTGCTAAAAAGGACATTTGGATTAGTGACAAAACATGTTTGATCTCATAATTGGTGGATTTTAAAACCTGCCATAACTGATTCTTGTGGCCACTTGGGGGCAGCAAAAGCGTAAACAGTAAACACTGACATATCATCAGCCTTTCTTCTGGGACTCTTGCCCTGAATGTTGTCTCAAAAGCCCTACATTTTTTAGGTTGTTAAAATAACTCTTTGACTGGACTGGAGAAAAAGTTCTGGTAGTGGGGAAATAGCACCATCAATGGGTCTACCCTAACATTGCCATAGGGGTTAATTTTGTGTGTCGTGTTTAATTCTGTTGCCACATCACAGTGAGCAAGCTTGCTAGCTAACCAGCTTATGAAGTTTTTCATGAGGAGGCAACCTCAACTATGTTTGCCTCTTCTTACGTGTCAGGAGTGAAAATTAGTCATCTCAACATTTGTTGTGTTCTGGTTTCAGAATGATGAAGACAATTGGATAACAATTAGATATAAAATAGGATGTAGGCTCTACAGGATGATTTTTCTTCTCCAAATGATGTACATTCTATTATCTCAGGTGGCTTGAAAAACAGTTGCTGTAAAGGGAAGAAAAATCTCATACCTTACTAGATTATGGCTAAGCCCTGAATGCTTGGCCCCTGGTTTTTGGTCTCCTGAGAGAAATATTTGTATCTTTAGCAGTTAAATGCTCAACTCATGCAAGAAGCACTGGTACAAACATTGGTTCTTAAGTGGCTTGAAAGACTGATTTACTTGAAAAAATTGGTGGCGTTCACCAATTTTCTCGGACTTTAAATTTTCTCTCAGGCACAGTCCTCCACTTTGACTGCGTTTGAGCACTAACCATCATCAATATAAACACAGAGTCCACCTCCTCTCGTTCTGTTCTGTCGGCTCAGAACGCAATCCGTTTGCTTGCTCCGGGATGTTGATGGAGCAGGTGATTTACACAGAAATCTAGGAGCGTTTGCTGAATCTGACGTTTACCGTATGAAAAAGTTAGAGAAAGTTAAGAGTAAGAATACGCTTCTTCAACATCTCCAAAATTACACTGTGTATGCAAGCTAGTGCACTGACATTCTATCAGAAGGTCAAAGTTATTGGGAATTATATTCATTGTAGTCCCCTCAAAAATTCTCTGTACACAGTAGCCACAAAAGCTTGATTTGGTTCAGTCAAATGGCTGAACTGAGAGGTCTACCTTAAATTTGTGAATAGTCTTTAATGCTTTTAGATTGTAGAAAGTCCTCTGTACAGATAGATGTTTTGTGTGAAGGGTTTGCAAAAAAAAGTAATATTTTGTACATAGAGAACAAAACGCTGTACAGTGGTTCAACCAGACTGACAACTGAAAGGCCAGAAAGAGACAAAGATCCTTCTGAACAACAGTTCAATAAGTATATAAGAAATCAGCAGTCATTGGTCAAAGAACTGGAAGCCCAGCATCAAAATGTGTGCAGATTTAAATAGGAACTGGTTCCTTTTTCAGTGTCAACTGCACAATAACGTCTCTAACAAGCTGGAATTAACAGACATGTTGCTTTAGCAAAACTTCAAAAATAGAAACAGTTTGGGTGTAGGGTTAGCACTATTAAATATCAGCTGCACACAATATGTATGGACTGTAAAATCACAGTTAAAACCTGTTCAATCTGACCAGTGAGTAGACTGCAGAGGTCCCAAAGAAACACAGGTTCCCAAGATATTTAGGGCCCAGTTGCACCTTTGTAAACCAATAATTCAATTCAATTCAATTCAATTCAATTTTATTTGTATAGCGCCAATTCATAACAGAAGTTATCTCAAGGACACTTTTCAAATAGAGCAAGT